GGAGCCTGCCAGAGCTATTCTCCATGGTGCATTTCCCATTCAGCGGCACTGAATGGACACTGATAGCTGTGAAAGGCCCTGGCCGCTCCCGAGCTCTCTCCCCTTGAGCTCCCTCCCACCCTTTCTTCCAAAAGGCTTCCAGGGAATTCAGAAAGAGCCCCTGGGAAGGTTGGAAATGTGATGCTGGGGTTGGGAACGGGAGCTGTTTGCCTGCCCCTCTCTCTGGGTGCCAACCCTGGCATGGGCAGGGAAGGAGAGGATCTGAAGCACCTGGGCACCCACCTGAGCCACGGGATTTCCTTTCCTAAGGGAATAAGGCAGCCCTGAGAGGTCAGAAATAATTCATAATAAATGGTTTGAGTTGGAAGGGATCTTAAATCTCATTTTGTTCCACTCCCTTGCCACAGGCAGGGACACCTTCCACTATCCCTGGCTGCTGCAGCCTGGGCTTGGACACTTCCAGGGACGGGGCAGCCACATTTTCTCTGGAAAAACTATTCCAACACCTCAGCATCGTCACCCTGAGCCAGATTCTCTGCTGTCTGATCACTGCTGCTTGCTGAGCTGTGGAGGAGGTGCACAGCCAGCACAAATCAAAGCCCACAGCCACATTCAGCACCATCTCTTGGTCCCTCTGCACCAGGAGCAGAGATTGTGGAGTAGCAGGAATTGGATTCTTCCAGGAACAATTGAGCTTTTATCTGCCATGCAAGTACATCCGCATTTTATTTTTAAAACAACCAGCCCTCCCTCTTCACTCTAAGCACTGCTGAGATGTGAATTCCTCTAGGACCTTTGCTGGGGAGGTTTAGGAGATTGGGAGGAGAGGTTTCTTTGCTGAGATGTGATTTCCTCTAAGACCCTGTGCTGGGAGGATTTGGGAGATTGGGAAGAGAGGTTTCTTTGTGTGTGTCCATCAATGCCCTGCACATCCACCTTTTCCAGGTGTTTGGGGTTGTTTTTTTTTCCTAAAAGCTTCCCTGGCTTCATCCTCTCTGCTGCCTTTGTCCAGCAACGCTTTGCTCCTGCCCTGGACCCGCCCTCCTACCTGGCTGCCAGGTGAGGCAGCTCTGGGAGTTGATCTGCTGTTTCTCTGCGGGGAAAGGGCAGGGAAGTGGGGTTTGGAAGCTTCCAAAGCAAAGCAGAGAGCCCTGGGTTTGGAGGGGGTTTGGCTCTCCCTCGGGAGGGAAGAGGAGGAGCAGCAGCTGATGTCCCATGGCACGCCAGCAGCTGTGGGACAGCCCCACATGTGGCTCCCTTCTGCTCCCGAGTGCAGCAAACCTCAAAAATCCCTTTTTGGGGACTGCTGTTATCCTTCCAGGGTACTCCTGGAGGAGGAAAGGACAAACCCAGTTCCTGTTGGGGAAACTGAGGCTGGAGGGCGAGAAGTGCCAGGGTCACCTGCAGCAGCTGCCCCCGTGGCACTGTGGAAGGTGCCCAAAATCCCTCTGGGATGGGCAGGGTGCTGCCAGCTCCCCTGGGTGAGTGCAGTGCTGCTGTTCCACCAGGCTCTCCCAGCTGGGCATGGATTTTCCTGACTCCTTCCACGCCGGAGCTGCACAGTCCAGGGGATAAATCCCCCTGGGAAAGATTGGATTAGGGGTTTGAGGAAAGGGTGTTTGATCTTGCTGCTGCTGGGGCTGTCACCCAGGGCCAGCAAAGCTGCTGGGACATCTTGTTGGCTTTAAAAACAAAATACCAACCCCAGCTGCTAAATCTCTGCTGGAGCAGCAGCAGATCAGCAAAGGAGGGTGATAAATGTGAATATCAGGTTTTTTGGGTTTTTTTTTTTGGGGAAAATTCAGGTGTGAGCCCAGAGCTGGGGTTTCCTCAGGGCAGCACCCTGTGAGGGGGTGCCAGCAGTGTTTGCTGAGCCCTCAGGGAGGGGGCACTGCACAGGAGTGGCAGGGTGACAATAACGCCGCTGTTATCAGCAGAAAGGGAGGGCCCTGCAACCAAACCTCTGCTGGTTCCACCTCTGCTGCCCTGCAAACGCTGCAGCAGCTCCTGGGCTGCAGGGAGCACCTGCAGGTGAGTCCTGGCTCCCTGAGCCTCCCACATCTCCCTTTTCCAGCCCCTGTCCTCACAAATCAGCAGTTCAGGTGATTTTCCTGCCCAGCACATTTCCCTGTCTCTATTCTGTGGGGGGGAAAAAAAAATTAAAATAGTAATTAATGAAGTTCAGCTGTTGCAGTTTTATCTGCAGCTTTATTGCAGCTGAGACTTCTCATCTCTGGCTGTTCATGGTTATTGCCTCAGGGATTTATTTTTACGTTGGAGCCCTGGGAGGGTGTGGAGGGGGAGGAGAGGTCTGTTCCTACCTGCAGATAAGAAATCCAGCTCTGCCTCCAAACTGGAATTCTCAGGCAGGTGGACAGATCCCTGCTGCCTCCCCAGTGCTCTGTCACAGCAGGAAAAGGGAGGAAAACAACTTTTGATCTGTGTGAGGCATCTTT